TACCATTAAATGCAGAGTGTTTTTCACAACAAGCTCAAAATACTCAAATTATTAAAAGAGTGGTAGGGTAGGGAAAACGCGTCGTGGATGCATCACTAGTGTGGGGGTGAGAAACGCGCTCACAAAATGCAGTTTTAGAGATGGATACATTCTATGAAGCAAAGGTTTATTAGCAGCATGCTGGGTGCATTCCAGAAGTGGGATGCCTGAAAAGCACACCTGCTAATAGGTTGAGGTTCATTTATAGTAACATTCATTATCATAGCCAAACGTATTTAAAAGTTATTTACATATTCAACAGTTTGCTGGGGAAATCTTTAACATAAGTTTCCGCCCATTGTCGTATGTGCACTAGAATCCTGGGGTGGTCGTTGAGGGTCACAGGCATGAAGGGTGGTAGTCTTCAGGATGAAGGCTCATTGTCTTCATCACCGTAAACTTTTCACCTTTATTGTCTCTGTGTAACTAGTGTTATTTAAGTCGGTCTTTAAGATTTACCTCCATCTGTGAATGTAGAAATGTTCCAGGCCTTGATGGATTTACAACCTTCACAAATACTCTAGAAGTTACCAACTCTATCTGAATTCCCCCCCCCCTTTTTATTTCTTCTTTTCTATATACAATGCGAATTCTTTCACTTTCCTTCTTTTCTATATACAATGCAAATTCTTTCACTTTTCACTGTACCCCATTACTAATTAGGGTTTTACTGACTTTTTGGTAAAATTCTCATCCTGTTATGTTCCAAAGCACCACTTATAAAACATCTTATAAAACTTATTTCAAGACCTTAGCCATGTTTCTATACCCTAATGCTTTAACAAATTACTTCCCACACACAATTTCTCACATGGGCATGGAGCTCATGGTAAGTTTGATCACTGTACCCCATTACTAATTAGGGTTTTACTGACTTTTTGGTAAAATTCTCATCCTGTTATGTTCCAAAGCACCACTTATAAAACATCTTATAAAACTTATTTCAAGACCTTAGCCATGTTTCTATACCCTAATGCTTTAACAAATTACTTCCCACACACAATTTCTCACATGGGCATGGAGCTCATGGTAAGTTTGAGTTAGGTCAAAGCAGCCCTCGCAAATACCTCAGGGACCAGTTAACAGGACCAAGGGAGTTAGTGTGGGCTAACGCAAGGGGGCCCTTTCTGAGCCCCATGGCTCAACACAAAGGTCTCCCTGACAGTTTTGTCTTCCTCTACGAAGTAGATTCAAGTGTACCTTGTCACTGGATCTTGTTCAACTACTGTCACATTTACCACTGAACTTTTTTAACTAACTGTATATATCAGTAAAGTAGATTGTTGCTTCTCTGACAAGTGAAGTCACTGACTCCAAACATGACAGTTTACATGGTATTCCTGTAATTAACTGAACAGGTCATCTTGAGTGCTATCCCACAGC